CATATATCGTTAGTGCGACATTGTACTTGTATTCAAAGAACTATTTCATTTTACAATTTGGCCGATCACATCTTCCTTATGAATTTTCGAATCTTATACAAGCTTATGGGAAATCACTACACTAGACATTACCGAGATCGTGATACTGTATTATATAAATATCACATCATACATATTCTACAACTGACTTTATCATACTCATATTACCTAATTAAAAAAGAATTAATTCGCCATTAAGCCATTTCCAAATTATTTTTATATCTGTTTATACGAACCATAGGTACTATCCTAAATCTATGGTTCGTGCGGACAGATAATAAAATCAAGGCAGCTTACTTTAAAAAAAATGTGACACGACGATAAATTTCAGATTTTCTTATTAAAAAAAAACAAAATTTAATTACATAACACTATCCACTCGTGTATAAAAAGTACACAAGTTATTTGTATTATGCTATTATTATTATTATTTTAATATCTTAAATATAAAAATTTGCAAAGATGTTTGTATCCAAACACGCTTAAATGACTTAACAGATTAGAATGAATTTGGTATACAAAGAATACCACACGTAAAATACTTGATGCAGGCAAAACCGTAACTTAGAACTATTTTTCTTATATTAACTTTATTTTGTGGCTTTACGTCGCTACATGCAATAATCTTTATGCAGTGATTCCCCAACATCCCTATGTACTTTAATTATATAAATTTACTCTTAATGAGTACAACAAGCGGAAACCTAAATGATAGTAAACAAGGTACCTACTGAACAACGCCTAGGAGCGTAGTCGAAATCTGAAAATATTTCTTTAATACTGTAATACTCAAAAGATTTATATTTCTTTAAATCATTCATAGAATTAAATAAAAAAAAAAGGATTTTTTTTAGTCTATAAAAAAATAAATCAATCATGTGACTACACAGTTTTAGTTTACTTAAAAACCGTTTTCGCCTGTGCTCCTTGAGGAAAATTGTTCAGTTAAATACTTTATTACAATAAACATGTTCAGTTTTAACTATGTTTCGACTTGGTATTCCCATAACGACTAATCCTGTATAAATCTCAAACCACTTCTAGATTATTTACAGTGTTTAATCAATGCCCAAAATATAAGTCAATTTAATTAATCGGTTAATTTAATCGGTGTTCCAATCCCTGATTAGTAACGAAGCGCTACTGACATAGATTCTAGACTCTTGTTCATATCACAATTTGCATGCATAGTAGACTTTGATTTACTTTATGGAAATCGTCAATCAAATTGTCTCATTTCTGGCCATTAAGGATTCCATCCTAATTTGTAAGTATATGCCTCACGGGTCATTCACAAAAGCGCTTGTAACTTTACACCTTAGAATTATCAAAAGTATAAAAGTACGTAAATTTATTATTGACTTCGAATCTAATAATTTTGGGCTTCACTAAAAAGTACATAAAGGAAAGGATTGTTAGTTGGGCCCTCTAAACCCCATTACTAGCAAAATACCGTCAGATCTTCGCGTAGTACCGCTGGAAAATATCATGGTTAGTTTCTGTCGAATTCGAACGAAGTGATCTGGGGGTCTACCTTGAAATGGAATTCCGAATTTTCGGACTCACTTTCGTGTTTTCGTTCATACCGAAATCAGCCCAATAAATGGAGATTAACATTTCGTTAATCATAATTCCTACTGTAATAGTCCAAAAGAACGATGTTTACATTTAAACGGTATATATTATGTAATTTACCATCAAATTTATATTCCGTTCGGTCCCGAAATTTCGGAAAATAATTCATCTTTCTGCTATCTCCCTTATCTATTACCCCCCCACTGATGCCTCACCAGCGTATACCTACTGACAGTGTATACGGAGTTACCATTTACTATCATTAAAAAAACAATGGATACAGTAATAACATAATTACAATAACCAAGAATATTAACCGTTATAATCATTATACTACCGTTATTATACTACCGTTATAAAAGTTGCAATATTAAGTAAAATTATAAGCGCTTTAGTGGAATCTCCCCATTTTGACCTTTGGTATAGATTTTGTTAATAATGAGTATTAACTGGTCTGTTAAATAATTTTTGATCTTACTCTCTATTATTATCAATTATTTGATCGAAAAACTTGACTTTTAAATTGTTGCTTCAGTTTCAAATTTAAAAGAAAAAAATACGGAGTTGCTATCTCAAAAAATGTTCAATAGAATTTAAAAAGTATACCTATAATTTTCTTTACGGCAATCGTGTCGCATAAACGACTTCATTAGATGTTTAACCTATCTAATCTCTACCAAATAGCCGAAATTTCATTAATAAATAAAAATACTGGTAAGTAAAACAAACCTTTGTATTCGACAATCATTAAAACTTTGAACAGTTTCACGTTTTAGCTGGTGTATGGTGGCAACAAATTCCTTACCACACAATGGCACTATTAAATGCAATTTATCACTTCTGGTAATCCATCTATCTGGTCTTGGTAATATCCAGTTGAAAACAATTGTAGGCAATAGATGGCGTTTTATTGAAATTTTAATCATCTCGGCTCCGTATATCAAATCCCAATGATAATTATCAATTCTTTCAATTAATTCTATCAACCAATATTTGTTCTCCTACGAACGAAATTTATAAAAAAAAAAATAAAAAAAAATATTAGGAAAACGCGACCATTTCCGCGGATAAACGCTAATACAGCTGTAAAATTAAGAGGTACATATTTACACATAGCCATAATCCATTAATATAAAAAAAAATTTACAAATGAATAAATAGAGACATCTATTTAAAATAACCATTAATAAACCTACGTTTCCAAATAAATACACTAAAGCTTAAAAGACTTAAACACTAAATTATTATGATCGAAATTATGCTTTAATTATAGAAAAAATAAAATTTCCAAATCAGATCCTGAAGCAGCCGACCCGTAAAATAATATACGACCATTTTACATTTAATGCCTTCGCATATGAGTTGTAGCGTAAACAAAACCGTATAGAGTGTAACATTTGTCGTGTATCGCATAGTACGAGACGATTGGTCAGGATTTATATGAAATAGCACAAGTCGAAGTAGATACGAACGAATACATTGACAGCTGACCGTGTGCATCCAAAATACAGTAAAAGCTCCTTATTCACGCTTCCTTTATTCGCGGATTAAAAAATTACGACCCAATCCCTATATTCGCGGCTAAACATTTCTTTATTCACGGATCTAATCTGTGTATATTAATAAAAAAGATTCGGTGTCATTTGCAAACACATCGGCAAAAGTAGTAACAAAAAAGTAAAACAGACCTTATTACAACTACACTTAAAGTATGTTGTCAAATGCTATTGCCGCTGGATAAGTGGTTCGATTTTCTATATTCACGGTATATTCACGGAATGTATACCCCGCGAATAAAGAACTTTTACTGTATATAATTACACTGGATTTAGTTACATGCATCGTAGTATATATTAGTAACTAGCGACCCGCCCCGACTTCGCGCGGGTGCACATTGCATCAAATCACATTAGAAACCTCTAAAATTATCAGTGTTTCTCTACTATATTATGCATGTATTATACATATAAACCTGCCTCTTGAATCATTCTATCTATTAAATAACCGCATCTAAATTTGTTGCGTAGTTTTGAAGATCTAAGCATACATAGGAACAGACAGATGGGAAGCGACTTTGTTTTATACTACGTAGCGAAATACAGATGTGTTCCACATGGGTGCTAACAAACATTTATATACTCGATTGACTTGTATTTTTTATACAACTTAGAATGGTAAACAAGCTGACGGCCCACCTCATAGAAAGTGGTAACCGTCGCCTATAGACATGAACACTACCATGGACATAACAGAGTATACTGCTATATATTGCTATTGTTAAAATGATAATGAATATAAAAGAGCAAATAAATTATTAAATTAACATGGACCTTTTGAAATGACATAACAATGTAAATAAAAATAGTATTAAGGACCCAACATTTAGATGTCTATGTATGGTGAAACATGTATTTATGCTTTTTTTATATGTAATACATTATATTTCCTATTTCAAGTGCATAATTAACACTGTCAATATGAGAACTCAGTTTGTATTTTGTTCAAATATAAACTTTGAAGTAAAAATAATTTAATTAAAATATTAAAAACCCCGCTCTGACCTGCACCTTTTGACATAAATCGTGCATTATAGTAATCTCGTATTAAACTCTGTACGATTACATCTACGCATCAAATAACATGCGAAAGCACTTATACCGTCATAGTTGTAGAATACTGACGGATCTGACAAAGATTACATATAAAGATCCGTCAGTATTCTACGACTATGACGATATATATAGAGAATAAACAGACTTTTGTGCCCATAGTATTACTTTTATATCATACGAATATATGATAGTGATTCTAGCAGCGTTCAACTGTGCATGGGACGGAATACATCGTAAGTGTAGTTCGCAGTAAAACGAATCATAAAAAACGTGAGCAGTGTTGTAGAAAATGTTTTATTGTAATTATTAAAGCATTCAAAAACGCTTGAGCGGTTATTTTTTATGTTAAAACATCACCATTCCACGTAAAACAGTGATAAATACAAAAGGTTTCGTTGCTGTTTACAGCCTAACACGATTTACAAAATTTAATCACAGTGTAGTCGAATTCTCGATTCTATGTACATATTTTATTCCCGGTAGGGAGTTATCAAAAAGTGTTCCCAAAATCAAAGAACACGAGAATGTTCCCCGCTTTGTGGCACCCTATTTAGAGCAATATTTGTGACTTATCTAAATTGATATTATTATAAATAAATCAATTAATATAATGGCCGTGTGGTACAAATTGGCACTGTAATATAAAGAACCAATTATTAACGCATTAAATTGTCGAAAACAAACTCTTACAACAACAACTACGTGGATATATATATATATATATATATATATATATATATATATATATATTTTATATATATATATATATATATATTTTATATATTTACTGGAAATTTTATTATTCAATCGATACTAAGTTTAGACTATAATTTGCTATATGGGTTATGAATTGTATACAAAACAGTCAAACATGTATACAGAGTGAGTATATATAATGTGGCGGAGTTATAATGAAGATTTTTATTATATTTCTGACAGATGTATGTACTTATCACGATATATACAACTCAAGTGACCCGTCCTCGATTACCATATACTCACTGCATACACACAACGAACAACAAATCATTTCATCATTATAAATGTATTACATTACAATATTCTAGCCCCCTGTGCGTATATATATATATACGACTACACGCGTAGATATATACGTAAAATTGTCCAAAAGTGATCATAATAACATTACATTTCACGTGCAAAATCTAACTTTTTGGTCATAAATATACTGATATACAAATTTTATCATTACAATATGATAATCTATACACAATACACCAAACATTTGCATTTGGTTAATAAATACGTCCTCGCGTTACAAACGTTTACTACAAAACTGCCGACCTTCACTATACATAACTTGTCTTTTCAAATTAGCTTTTACTATTATGCTGTTTTGACAATACAGTGGAGTATCGGAGTGGACTATCTTAAATACACGTGCAGGCAACATAGTGCGTAACATAGTATTGCCACCAGCTATCACAATTTCACTATACCAATAAAAATCTCATGGAAATGAAAATAGGAGTAACGCCGCCGCATTCGTCACTGCAGCATAAGAGATTCTAGGTTACGATTGAGGATCGTGTCTTTGACTGAGTTGAAGACCACCTCAATGTTGTGCGTGTCTATGGCCGTGGTGAAGTGGTGGTAGAGGGTTGTCTTTGGTTCCCTCCGGACGTTGGCGAACATGTTTAGCAGGAACATCTGCACGTCCCGCAAGTTGTGCGGGTCGCCCGCGAACTGCGGATAGTACCAGCGTATGTCCGTCTCCTTGCTGGCGACCTTCTTCGCGAGCAGATCAGACTTGTTCAGGAACAGGATCACAGAGATGCCCTTGAAGTTCACGTTGTTCACAATTGTGTCGAAGATGTTCAACGCTTCTTCGAGACGATTCGTTTTTCTGGAATTAGATTGGGATATTTGTAAATAATGTATAATCGAAAAGAAAACTATTGTCTACACAAAATAGGCCACAAATCGGTTTAAAATTGACAAAGATAACGTGTGTCGTATTACACATTGATTGATAATGCTATATTATATTGATTTTTTTTATATTACTGAGGTGGCAAACAAGCATATGCCCCACCTCATGGTAAGCGGTTACCATAGCCTATGAATACCAGGGGCATTACGCGTACGTTACCGACCCTGAAGAAACCTCTTTATCCTTTTTTTTTTTGAAGAATCACAAGCTGTAGGATTATGGAAAAACCTCGACAGGGAGCTGATTCCATAATCTGAGCATTCATCAAACAAAATCCGAAGTAGTTAGTTAATATTTTAACAGATTTAATTATCGATTTTTATAATAAAGAGAGCGAAACGAAACTTATTTAAATTATACTGCTGCGCCACAGATGTGTACAAAAAACCTCCGGTCACGTGCGAGTCGGACTCACGCAACGAGGGTTCCGTACAAAATCATCAAGGCTAATTTTTTTTTTTTTGGTGAAATCACTACAAACTTACGGTTTTTTGGGCTTTTTTCTTTACTTGTATTACATAACATTCATGACAAGCTACATGATTCTAGATCAACGGGAAGTACCCTATACGTGTCGATTCCCTTTGCGGATGTCAAAATATGCGATATAAATGTAACATAAACGGCCGTATCTTTTGATTACGTCGATTTAGAACCTTGATTTTTTTACTGCTTTAAGAAATTTCAGACCTGAGCATATAATATTAATATCAACTTGACACCTCTACGTGTTCCCAAAAAAAAAGTCCTTGACAGATGGACGGACGGACGGACAACGAAGTGATCCTATAAGGGCTCCGTTTTTTTCAACTCTAAAAATGTGTTAAGGTACGTATGTATTTCAATAAAAACAAAATAAAGTTAACACGCATATAATAGGATAAATAAAGTTAACAAACACATAATAATTGGTCGAATATATGGCCATAGACGACACAAGCCAGTTACTGGTGTCCCTCTATATGGAATATCTACTACTTACGCGTAATTTATCTCAATCAAGTGAGAACAATCATCGTCTTACATAAATAGGGTCTTGTTACTAACGCAACCAGAAGGTATGATTAGCTTACTATTAGTCCGCAAATAGGCAGATAGGAAGGTCATTGCCCTCTTTATAAGATAGCAGTTCAAGAGACGCAGTCATATTTTTTGCTTGCTAAATATAATAAATAAAGATAATAACAGACGAAAATTTATGTTTTTCACTTAGGTTAGGTTACTACTAAAAATATAAACAATTTATATTTAATTAAAAATATTTAATTAAAAAAAAACCCGTGTGTGCCCCGCCATAGAATGGGCCACCCCTTCCTTTCCCGTGGGTGTCGTAAGAGACGACTAAGGGAGAGCAATAGAGGGACAGCAGCGTCCTCTTAAAAAATCTCTAAAAGCCTAGCTGCGGTTGGCAACCCACCTACATTGCACCTACCAAGCGTGGCAACTACTGGCAAAACTCTCCTTATGGGGAAAGCTTATGTCCAGCACTGGACAGTTAACGGCTGAAATAATAGACTACTTATAGCAATGAACATTATTGTAAAATCAATAAATTATATCAAATAAAAAAAGAGATCTGCAATTCACTCAGATAATACCTTAAAGTTTATTTTGAATTTCAAAAGAGCCGAAGTTTCTTAGTTTTTTTTTTTTTTTCATTTAAGAGTTTCCTCTTGTCGGTGCAACTAATTTATGCATCTTCTTCCAGCCAGTTCTATCCCAGGCCATATCCTTGACCTCCCTATACGACATGACACCTAGTGTTTCTTTTATCTGTCCCATGTAGTTATTCCTCGGTCTTCGTCTTCCTATTTTGCCTTCTACTATGCTTTAAAAAAAAATCGTCATGTCGTTTAAATTGGCCCAGCATTTTGCCTCTTCTATTCTCTATTATTTTAATTAATGTTCTTTTCTCGTTCACTCTTTTCAGGACTACCTCATTCGTTAGTTTTTCTGTCCAGCTTATCCTTCTTCTTTCTTAGTTACAAGTGCAAAAAAATTGCATAATTTTAATTATTTGTATTATTTTATTAATTAAGAGCTTACTTTCAGAATAATCCTATACTACCGTTCAATCGTTATATATGCACATATGTGTGTTTCATAACAGAAATATCGACGGTTGTGCAGTCTTTTACCGTATTAAACATACGGAAATCTAATAGACCTAACATATTGAACTTTGATAAACAAATAGTAAATTGAGAGATGCCTTAATATTACTTTTATTTACAAAAACAATTTAATAACTATCTGGTATCGTTATTATAACTTTTATATAAGTACAGATAATCTTTCATCAAATATATATTTTTTTTTTCTATATACAGACAACGCGTGCCCGAGTCACGGCTATGACCTCGAATCAGTCGCCGGATGTCATTCTGAATCATTACAAATAGACAACATTGTATATAGTATAGACAGAACAAAATATGTAATTATTTAAAAAGAAAAATTACTGTTTACTTGTTAAGTTTTAAAGTAATTACTGAGAATAACAAGGATGCTTCATTTATAGGGTAAAGAAAATATATCATTTTAAATAAAACATGTTCGTAATATAAATCTTATTATAATTTTTGAAGCTATTTAGCTCATAACCAACGATAAGTAAATTTCTTAGACACCTTTTTTACTATCCAGAATAACACACACCAAAAATTCTTTGCATTTTTTTATCCAGAAATAAAATTAAAATTATTATTTTAAATTATATATATGTCGGTCGTACAAACTAGTACTTATTTATAGGACGAACCCATAAAGATTAAAAAAAACTACTGCAGTAAATATTTAAATAAAAAAATAAAATGGTCAAAATCAAATTAGAATTTGCGAAGATGTAACATAAACACAAAAACATACAGGCAAATGACCTCTTCGTTTCCGGAATAAGGATTCCGGAAGGCCTGTAAATATTAGTTTTCAAAGGTGAAAACTAATATTTACAGTGGATCGTAAAATCATTTAAATTTAGAATTAAAATAATAAAGTACATATGTAAAAACAATGTACAGCCAACACCGTGGTGCTAGGTCGTAACGCTTGGGCCAGTAAGTACTTACCTACTTGTAATTAATATTCTTTACCACGGACTATGACACCACAAAATGGACAGGAGTACCTAATCACCGACTCATACTATAATCTAATTGGTTAGAGTGCTAATCTATCATTTACAGATATGATTAAAGGTTGTAAATAAATAAATTAAAGGAAATACCAGAGGGAGACTACAAAAGTCATTTGCTTGGACACCTCTGTCCCATTCGAGTTTCTACCGTGAACCAGTTTGCATGGCTGTGTTTCGGTTTGAAGAGTGGGATATGGCAGTGAATTTACAGAGTACAGAGGAATAACACCTGAGTCCTCATGAATGGCAACGCAATGGGGGGTATCATGGGCGAAACAGTATACTCTGTTATGTCCATGGTACTGCTCATGTCTATAGGCAACCGTTACCACTTTCCATCAGGTGGGCCGACAGCTTGGTTGCCATTCTAAGCTGCATAAAAAACATAAAAAAGAACGGAAATGTATCCCGCCTGCGCTATAAATATACGCAAGCGAGGTACCAATATAATGATTGGTAATGACTAAATCAGTTTCTTCAGTCAGATTTCCAAGAAAAGCCATGTGGAAATTGACCTTTTTTTATGACCATTTCTTAATTTTTCAATAGTAAAATCAAGTAATTGAGTGCATTATGCAAATCAAGACCAACAGAATTCCCATAAAGTTTATCTACTTTGTTACCTTTTTTCAAATTATTACAGCTTTACTTAGATGATTAAATAAAAAAATAAACTTGTAATGCTTTGTTTGCGCAAATCTCGCACGTGTTCCTTATGTGTCTAGCAAACATCATCATCATCATCATCATATCAGCCTTTAAGTGTCCACTGCTGAACATAAGCCTCCTCCTAGGAGGGTTTTGCCAGCAGTTGCCACACTTGGCAGGCGGATTGACAACCACAGTGAAGGTTTAGAGATGTTTTAAGAGTTACGCTGCTGCCAATCCCTCGCTCTCCCTTAATCGGTTCTTACGACACCCACGGGATAGGAAGGGGTGGCCTATTCTATACCGGGACCACACAGCCAAACATACGAGATACAAACAGATTTTCAACAAAGCTAAATGGTTAAAATACTTAATCCCAATTTAGTTTTTATCAGAAACATTTAAAATATCATTTGACATTGCGTCATTTGTGGTTAAATTCAATTCCAATAACATGTGTTCTTTGTATATAAATATATATTTATTTGCATAATATACTATGTATTTAAATATACAAGATTCCCCCGTAACCGCAAACTTACGATGCTCAAAGCTAATTTTACGATAAAAGTTTATAATTAGCAATATTTCATAGCCGGACAATTTTTACGAGCGCGTAAATCTTGCGAGTCCATTAAAAAACATTCGTTAATAATTTATAATATACGAATAACACATAAATCATTTATCATCACACACACTTTGAAGACTAGATTCAAATACCTGAAATAGGTTATACAGGTTAGTTATCCAAGATTGAATATATCAGATGAACTCATAAAGCACTGTTTTTCTAGTTTTATATTGACTTTTCTCTCTTTTTTTTATACCACTGAGGTGGCAAACAAGCATACGGCCCACCTGATGGTAAGCGGTTACCGTAGCTCTCTCTCTTCTTATTTAAAAGTTTCCTCTTATCGGAGCAACTAATTCATGTATTCTCATCCAGCCAGCTCTACTCCAGGTCATACCTTAAGTGTCATGTCGTATAGGGAGCTTAACTCCCTATACGACATGACACTTAATGTTGGGGGGAAAGGAATTGTTAGTAATGGGATTTGACGGCCCCATTGCTAGTAATATACCGTATCAGATCGATCTCCATCTGGTTCCCCCTGGAAACCATCATGGGTAATCCTTGTTGAATTCGTCACAATGGGCTAACTGACCTGCTTGACTGACACTGGTGCCCCGCCATTATATACTGATAGCGCAGAAGGGGTTATCATTCCATTATCACCTATTAAAAAAAAGACACCTAGTATTTCCTTTATTTGTTCCATTATTTCTGTTCCAATTATTTCTCGGTCTTCCCCTTTCTCTTTTGCTATGTTTACAGTTGCAGTTGTAGTTTTATATTACAGGAATTTGTTTTAGTTTACTTATAAATAACGTTTTAAATTTCACGCATAGAAATAGAATGCTACTATTATTAAAAATGTGAAAGTTTGTTATTCAATCACGCTTAAACCACTTAAAGGATTTCAATGAAATTTGATCCGTAGGTAGGTTATATCCTAACTGAAGACAATATTTTACGTACTGATTAACGCGGGCAAAGCCGCAGTAAATGGCTAATTGTCAGTAATTAAAAAATAAACTAATTTTAAAACTACCCGCAACTTTGTTAACGTAGACCTTGCGTGACGGGGATAACAATTCCAAATATTTGAGCAGTTAAAGGTAAAAAATAAACAAATTTACTTTAACATTTATAAAATTTATTATTATTATCAGTCGTTAACAGTCCACTGCTGAACATAAGCCTTCCCCATAAGGGGAGTTTTGCCAATAGTTGCCAAACTTGGCAGGTGTGTTGGCAGCCGCAGTTAGGTTTTTACATATGTTTTAAGAGGGACGCTGCTGCCCCTCCCTCCACTATAAGTTCCCTTAGTCGCCTCTTACGACACCCACGGGAAAGGAAGGGGTAGCCCATTCTATGCCGGGACCTACACAGCGATAATATATATAACATTAGTAAGGATGGATACCTTTATAATTTCCCGTCTTTAATAATGTAATAACAAGTTAACATACGAAGCACACGTAATACGCGTTGGATGCCATTAAAAGATTTCCATAACTATGGAATTAAGATAGCTACTCGCTTTGAGGGACCGATATACCCCGAAAGAGATAATTAAAAACATTGATTACACGTTTCGATTTTAATTAAGAGATACACTTCAACGAAAAGAAATAAACTGATCCCATAAAATTAATGAGGTAAATATCATTTGATAGGATGCCATGGATTTTTTCAAGCAACGTTTGATCATAGAACATTAGACACGGTCAGTCAAATGTATTGAACTTACATCCAACAGATTGTCCACGGAAACTCGAATGCCATAAAAATATATAGGCGTACCCCAATCCTAATATTTACCATACGCAATACAGATCTGTAACACTACATTCAGCTCCTCATAAACAGCATTCATATCAGACTTCACTGCTGAACATATGCCTCCCCTTGCGTTTTGCCAGTAGTTGCCACGCTTGGCAGACGGATTGGCAACTGGAGTTTTTAGAGATATTTTAAGAGGGATATATTCGCCTTTTACGACACCTACGTAAAAAGAAGAGGTGACCTATGTCGGGGCCACACAGCTTTTTAAAAACGGTTATTAAAAACAGCATTGTGCTACTAATATCTTAAAGTTGTTTGTATGTTTGTTACTCAATCAAGCTCAAAGGCCTAAACGGATTTGAATGAAATTTGTTACACAGGTAGAGTATATTCAAGCTTAACACATATATTATATATTGATACAGGCTAGCGAAGTCATAGGATACAGCTAGTTAAATATAATGTCGAACGAAGCCAAATTATGGAATAGATAAATATGTGACCAAACCAAGTAAGCATTAACAAAAGTAATAATCAAAATCGTAAATAAAAAGAACGAACGAATGAAGGACCGCCTTCCATTTCGAAATCGCTCAAAATCGACTACTCTTGCAATAATGTCAATTGTACGTGTATCTGTATAAGATCAAACATCAAACGAGATCGCCGGCGAACTTTCATATTGGGACCAAAAAACAATTCTTGGGATTCAGTGTGTATATAAACAGCTAACGGGTGAGCTGTCAATCAGATGAATTCCACTCACTATACAAAAACCGACATGTGTACAATAACTCTAGCGATACGTAGAAAACCATAACCGCGCGTATCATAAAAAATTGCCATATTCAATAAATGGAATGGACAATCCTTATTATTTTGATAGAAAGATCGGGCTTTTTCAAACAGATTAACCTGTGACACGGGGGAATGGGATTGTTAGTAATGGTGACTGAGAATACCATTGCTAGCAATATACTCAACCAGGTCGACCTCCTCGCGGTTCTCCTCGGAAACTATCATGGTTAATTCCTGATGAATTCATCATGATGGGCTAACTGGCCTGTTTTCATTTTCATCGATCACCCTTCACTGGTGCCCCACCAGCGTATACCGGTAGCGCGAGTGGAGCTGCCATTCAATTTTTATCCATCAAAAAAAAAATCTGTGACACTGTGACGTTTCCATGATCTTTTGTATTCGCTTTTTGTTAAGTTCGCTGCTAATTCCTATTAATGATAGGAATTTTAAGATATTTTTTGTAGCGACGTTTTTTATCTCCTCAGAATATAGAGTATATTTTCCAAAGGATATGTATGAGTGGGCTATAGCCACACATTAAGTGCTGCGGCATTTCCTTCTCGCTGTGACAAAATTTGCAAATACTTTTTGGGCATAAGCCTAGTTGAATCCTTACTAACATTATAAATAGGAAAGCGATTTGTTTGTTACCTTTTAGCACCTTAACGGTAACTAAGAGAACAAAGCACCATAGCAGTGCAAAAATAGAAAAAATCGAAACTCTAGTCAGCGTAGTAATAGTAAGCTAAACATTTTGTTGTAAAAACTATGTACTATATACTTGTAGCTATTTCTGGAACATTTATGGATTAAAGTACTTTTATTGTAAAGGCAAACAGCTGATACTCCTTCTGTTAATAAGCAGTAACGACCATATAACTTATTCTACAGATTATGCATTGCACATGCATTTACCGTAAAAATAGGCAAAACGATGATACATACTCGTAACTAGGTCAAGGCCACAAAACTCTACGACAGACAAAAGATGCAAGTTTAATACTTGCTGTACTTTTATGTATAGTAAAATCAGAAGTAGATTTAAGATAATAATCTTACTATGGAAATCTTTGTTTAATGGGCTATAACTTTTTAGTACAACTTCTAACTTTACAGGGTTATAAGGTCCATAGGTCATGAAAGTTAACTCCGGAACACTACTCAATCTAGCTCTTTTGCAAATATTCAGTGCAAAAAAGAATACTTGCTATTACCAGAAAAAGATATCATGTGTATAATGGTATACTCTGTTGTTCGTAGTGCTGTTTTTATCTACAGACGACGTTTACTACTTTCCATCAGACGAACCGTCAACTTATTGGCTATTCTAAGTTTAAAAAAAAGCATATAGTGAATCTGTTCCGAACGCTTAAAGCTATCAAAGTACGGACTAAAACGATCCAATAAGGAATTCCTTTTATTACAAAATAGTAAAAAAATAATAACGGAATGCGTCATAGTAAGAAAATTCTATAAAACACGCAACTATAGCATACATAACTAATTCCTAATACTAAATTTGAAAGTTAAAAAGCAACATTACCTGTCTTCTGACAACACTTGGTCGAACTCCGAGGATGACACCAGAAACAATATTGAGGTGACAGAGTCGAAACACTGAGTCCACTTTTGCCGCTGCGTCCTCTGCCCTCCCACGTCCACGAATACAAAGGGTACGTTGTTAATGTTGATTGTACATTCCGAGATGCCTTTCGTGGCTTTCCGGCAATGTAGGATGTCTTGATGGGAGGGCACATAGTCGGGCCGAGCTATGCGTTCTAGGTCATCGAAGAAGTAGCTCACTGAGTCGCTCTGAAATCCAATAAGGTAACCCATTAACAAATCTTACAATATGGTGCTCGCAAATTCGAAAGAACCAATGTGATGTATATTTCTGTTATTATAGCCGGGTGACTTTAACACAATCAAATTAGGATCAAATAGGAATCACTTTAAGACGTCAATTAGACGTCACATTTAAGTCTATTATAATAAGTTTACTACTGTAATCTTTTAGAGGAAACAATCAAGAATATCAATCTATTTGACGTTTCTCTAATATGATTCCGATTTGGTTATGTCAGAAATGACTACACTGGACTGAACTCTGTATAAATTTTTTGATACAATCTAAACCACAATACTGTACGGCCACACTCGTTTTTAAATTATTTATTTTTCATGTATACCTCAATGTATATGTATCAAAGAAACATATTTTCTTTCTTACTTTTGAATGTATTTAATTGCCATTAGCTACAGGATATGGTGACACAGATCGAGATAGTCTACATAAGTACAATTTATATTTAAACTAAGCGTGTCAATACAAAATAAACTACTCGGTATGATGCTATAGAAGCTATTTAATTGATAGCAAACCTTTGCCGCACAAAACCCTTCTTAGTATATGTATTTTTTTTTTGGTTTCGATATTTAGCAGAGTCAATCAGGTTTTTAAGTCTATTTTAAAGGCAAAATTGGAAAAAAAAAACAATAAAATAAATATGCTTAAGACAATCCCTAATGAAGTACAAACAATACAATAAAGATACCAAAATATTGTCAGGTGTGTAGGTACCTAGCGATAAATATGAATGTACACATTACACATGAATGTAAATGAACAATAAAACGCACATTAACATAGTAATATACATAATTACATACATAATGGTGATGAATACAAAAAAAAACCCACTACTTAAATAAATCTAGTAAAAGTCAGTGTATTAAATGTGTTGCTTAATTATATTATAATAATACATGTATAAATAATAATTACAGAGAAAACAGAATGCAAGAATCAAAATACTCTCTTTGTTTTTCCTTCACATTAAAATAATTGTCTTTATACTTAGATCACGTTATTGGAATTACATACACTCGTATCAGCTGATATTGGTTTCCATACAATACCTACCTTAATAATTTAATCATCCAAGATTTTTAATTTCCTGCAAAGAGGCTATAAAAATACTTCGGTGATAAGAATCACAAAGCCAGTGTTATGAATAACTGTATTACATTATATGGACATTGACACTGAACAATGCACAATACATTAACCACGCCAAGCAAATGTACCTACACATAAATAACAAAATGTAAGTCCCAAACAATCAACCAAATTGATCCTCAAACCTCAAACTTTATATGATTGATCACATACGAAAAATCTGGACGTCGAACTAATCCAGAAAAGCGTTTCCTGTGTATATTAGTTCGGCCGAAAAACAACATGGGCAATGTGTTCGACCGTAATACAACTACGACATAAAAACAGCATTTTTAATAAGTACTCGTATATGGTGAATTAGGAGCCGTTTGTGCTAAGTGGTCACCATCGTGTTAGATATCCATCTAGGTAAGGGCATAACAGGTTCATCACTATTCTAAGGATGTGGAATGCTCGAGGTACAGTGTTAATGGTAGTGGATAACAAACCAGATTACAACACCATGTAACAAAACACCATGTAACAAAACAAAAGAAAAATGATTATTCAATTATTTGAAACTCAAGATATAGCTTTGATTTTATGCTTAAAATTGGAACTACTAAAAGGAACATAGAAGACCGCGAAGTAGTAATACCTACTGCGGAGTCTTGGTCTGGGAGTGAATCAGATTACCATAGCTCCTGGAAAAGAAGGGTTTATTGATTTTAACGTGCAAGTTGTAAAGTCTCCAAAGCCATAGTATATATGGTACGGGGTATATACATACCATTAGGTTGTTTTGTGCTTCAAAAGGTTGGGATTATAAGTGATTATATTTCACTAATGCACAGGGTACCTATACCTGGGCCTCTAGATAAGTGGCATCGATGAATTCATTTGCCAATTGTTAAATAGAAAACTGAGAATTAGTGTCTATCTAACGCAAAAAAAGATCAAACGTGCTACGACTGCAAGTGCTCTAAGTTCTCATTTTTACTCCAAATAAGAAAAAAGTACCTATTTGGACTTCGACTAAATCTCCACTCGGAACACTCAAGAGTTTTTGACGATAAATAATATTAGACTTGCCCATGTAAGAAAATGCAGCATTACTGATGAATATCTTTCAATTGATAATTGATTCAGTATAGAAAAGGTTATCTGTCGCTAAAGTTATATCGAATAATAATAAAATAGCACGCACAATAACAGTGTAAGACTAAGAAAAACTGCATCAATGGTCAAAATGTAAAATTGCATCATAATAATTGTTATTCACATGCGATGCTATAATTCGAAGAAACTGTAATAAAATAGTACAATTCAAAACACTACAAAGTCCAATAAACTTATGTCACGAATTAAAGTTATAAAATTATTACATAATTGTAGTTATCTTTATTGTTACGTAGCCAACTGGGTTTAATTTACCTTGGTCGAGATCATAGATTTGCAATTCTAAATAACCGAATATTTTAGTAATTTGGTACGGTAAACCGAAACCGGTCGAATATTAAACCGGAATGTCTACGTAAGAAACCGGATGGCTAATTATCTGAACCCCGCCTTCTGCTGCTGGCAGATGAGCTTGTACACAAGCCAGGTTCGATTCGAACTTAGTCATATGTTTATATCTATGACGTCACGAAATTACTCACTCCTCACAGACATGCTTGGTTTAACCAGAATGATGTATTGTGGATATAAAATAAATAAAAAGATTGCTTTTAATCTCGTTGGACTAATTGAAACCATGGTCAAGTTAGAAGAGAATTAATTGAATTTTATATATATGTAGTTTTATATACAATGTCATCCCAATGTTTCTTTTTTGAGAAAAAGAAAAACATTCTCCACGTTTTCTAAAATGGGAATAGAATCACCTTACGATATCTATTTTTAATCGAATAATAAACATATTGTGAATACAAACTACTCTGAAAATACAACTCGTATTTGAAATCGTATTTCTTAAACCACTTGTAAAATCCTTTATTTGTTTGTGTGTAAATATTATGGTACTCGCACAATTCTAAACCAATATGATTTTTTGCATTCAATGGAGTTTACTCTCATATCAATTTTGCCACCGATTGAAGCCGTAGATAGATCGATAAATGGATACCTAGAAAGGGAAGGGATTGTTAGTAATGCGGCCTACCAGTCCCATTGCTAGGAATATACCCTAACCCCCTGGAAACCATCGTGCTAAATTCCAGGTGTGTTCACCACGATAGGCTAACTAACCTACCTTTTTATTCTCACTTATCATCCCTCATTGATACCCCGCCAGCGTATACAGTTGGCGCAGGCAGGTATACCATAATCATCCATTAAAAAAAACAGATAATCTTTATCCCTTCAAAATATTACAAAAGTAAACTTATAAATACAAACAATTACAAGAAAATATAACACGCATTTTTTTTTTCTGGAACAATATCTTGAATAAATCGTTCGTAATACGAGCACAATGTTAAAATTCACTTCCTTTACAAATATTTATTTACATTTTACCTCTCACATCAAACAGGTTTCGAACCAAAATTAACTCTTTAAAAAAGGTTTCATTTACACAATGCCGGTCAGATCTTTTATTCTACGAATTCTTCAAGGTAAATTACCATAAATTGGATATCATCCATATTTTTTTTAAAAACCGAGTAAGTAGCGACGCCTGTGTTATGACTTTTATCAGTAAAAGGTTTTTGACAGTTGAAATACGAATTTGAATAAATTTATTTAACATATGTATATATACTCACGACTATAATTCCTGAGGGAGTAGTCCAAGGTATCTGTCGACTACTACTTGTGTAACTAACGTAACATTGGAAAATCCAAGCGCCGGGCATATTACAATCCAACGTGAGTAAACTTGCCGCTATCATCTGAATTATTGGTTTGTTATTATCCTGTGGTCCTTAAATAGAATAGGCCACCCCTTTCTTTCTCGTGGGTGTCGTAAGAGGCCAATAAGGGAACTTATGGTCGAGGGATGGACAGCAGGGCCCCTTTTAAAACATCTCTAAAAGTCTAACTGCGGTTGCCAATCCGCCTACCAAACGTGGCAACTCATGGCAAAACTCCTCAAATAAAAATGGGGAAGACTTATGTTCAGCAGCGGACAATTAGCGGCTGAAATAATAATAATAATAAAAAAATATCGATATTTTCCAACTTTAGTCGGAACTTTAAGACCCAAAACTGACTAAAAAAAATATAAAGAAAATGTTCCAATTAATGTTTACAACTGAATTTGTACCCTAAAAACAAAACTTTGCATTTTATATTGGTCTAACTCAATAAAAAAAGACCTTGACTTTGATATTAACGTAAGTGACCAACATATGTTTGAGTAAATAACAAAAATTGAAAAAGTTTAAGTAAAAAAATATATAAATGAGTGTTCCATTATTTTTAAGTCTGTTATTGATTATTAAAATTCTAAATGAAGTCATAAATTACTATTAGTCTAAATTACCACATACTATAAGGTAGAATATCCACCGCATTATCATCTTTGTATAAAATTGATATAAACAAAACCAACGACGTCCTAAAGTATACTGTGCCACCCATAACATCCACATACGATGTCTTTCATATGGCTAGATCATTATTACTTTAGATTAATCTTTCAATCATATTTAATCAGTTTCTTTGCCATTCGCAGTCGTATAAAATAACTTATACATTATCATTCGATTCATCACTAAAATGACTTCACCATTATTATTACCAGAGGGAGAGTTTGTACAAAACTCGATTGCTTGGGTACCTCTGTCCTATTCGTGTTTCAACCGTGAAGCAGTTGTGTTTGCATGGCTGTGTTTCGGGTTGAAGGGTGGGATATGGCGTGAATTTACAG